CTGTCACACTCAGCCTCAGTTTGCTCTGTCACACTCAGTCTCAGTTTGCTCTGACTGTCACACTCAGCCTCAGTTTGCTCTGTCACACTCAGTCTTAGTTTGCTCTGTCACACTCAGTTTCAATCATCCCCTGTCACAACACGTGTCAAACCCTTCACTTTGTGATCCCAAGGGAAGGGGAAGAGAAACAGAATGGAGGGATTTCAGCATCTATGAAGACAAATGGATTCCATAGCATCAGAGACCTAAAAATGTCCTTATCTCTAGAGAAAAAGCTAGAGATTTATCTAGAGATAAAGCTAGAGATTTATCTCTAGAGCCCACTCCTGCAAAGAGGTCACACTGAATCTGAGTGGTTGGTGATCAGTTCCAATTTAACCTGCAGTTAGAAAAGACTAAATTTGCAGCAATCAACACTCAATTGTCTTAGAAGCCAATAAAGTGTCAAGCCTCATTTTTAGATTTCACTCCAAGGAGGAAAGAAACAACAATTTTTGAATAACATAACTTGGCAGCAAAAGAAAAGTCAATCATAATTAATGAATTTCTCACCTTCAGGCCCACAAGCCTCTGGATTACTAATGCAAGAATTTCGATAGCTTCCGAAGAAGAGAAAGGTGACTCCTTTCTTTTCAGTGACGTAAATCCCTTTGTTCACCATCCCTTCTATAATATCTAAAGCAAAAGCAAAATCCAGTTTAACGTTCACATAAAGGAAAACCTCCTGGAAACATGATTTTAACAGACTCCTACAGCTCAGATGTTTACCTTGGTCCAGCTATAAGGTTTTATTACTTTCTGTGTTTGCTTTTCTTTTTGTGTTTTTGGTTTCAGTTTGCCAGTTTTGGTGTGCTCAGTTTGTTTGTTTCCATTTGTCAGTGGTTTGTTGTATTTTTAAAGACCACACAGACACCTCCCACTCAGCTCTGTGGTTAACTAAGACTGACAGAACCCATACATCCAAAAATTATTATTTTAAAGTAATCTGAGTGAGCTTTATGCTTTCCAGAGTTTGGAATGCTAGACACTTCCTAGAGGTGTCTTACTGGTAGGCTGAGCTAGTAAAGAAATTCTTTCCCCATTTAAAATGTAACAAAATAGTGTTTCTCTTTTCATTTTTTGAAAGGGCAGGCTGGTGATCAAACACCAGTTTTCAGTGAAAAATAACTCAATGAAATATCCTTGACGAGGTCCACTCAAAGACAGAACTGGAGCTCCTTTCACACACCCTTTGTTGGGTGTCCTTGGCTCTTGCAAAGGCAATTGCTTTACCTAAGGTGGATAATGAGCAATTTGCTTGTGTTTTCTTGTGTTCCCTTCCACAGAAAAGCGCTGCTGATCCATCTGCTGCCAGCTGGGAAATGGAAATCCTGGCATTTGTTTGCTCCAGGAGCCTCCTTAGCTCTCAGAGTGCAGCTGACAGGAGGTGCTGGGGAGATTCTCCCCTTTGTCCTGGCTGATTTTAGCAATGCAGACAATGGGACAATGAAAAATCATAAATAAAAGTTCTGGTGGGCTGGGAAAGCAGTGAAAATTGGACTGCCTGTTTCTGAGAGGGAGAACATCAGTTGTTGGTGTGGGATTTCCTGCTACCTCCATCCTCTGGGATGGCATTCCTGCAAGGAGGATTCAGAACCTTGGGTTTAGGACCCTTCTTCATCATTTCCTCTGGAAAAAGGTTGAGAAGAGCTGTTCCAAGGGAGCTCCAGCAGTGAGAAGATATTTTCCTTTTCTCTATTAATGCTGTGAATGCATGTTTCAGTGTCCTCCTAGTTTGTCCCAAAACTTTATTTAAATATCAGTTTTCAGGTATCTTCCCCTCCCTTTGGGGGAGAAACCATCAAGCCCTGCCTGTAACTGACAGATAAAATTTAGTTCCTTTTAAAAATGTGTGTACTGTGGAGCAAATAAAACATTTCTAAGTTCTTCTCAAGGCACCTGAATTATAAATTCATCTCTGCAGGGAAGTTCCCATAAGATAAAGCATTTCTGTTCCCACAGCACTTCCTTTGCCACTGGTGTCACTCTCTCTAATGTTCATACTGAATATGCTTTATTGTGTGAGAACTATGCAAATGGTCTATAAAGCAGATAAGAGAGGACTGGAAGGAATTAGGGTCATTTGAAGTTCATCATTAATAGAGTTCCCATGTGCCAGCATACTTTTAATGTTAGAGAGTAAAAAAATAGTGGGTTCAGTATTCCAATATAAAATTCTTACTATCTGAGCAGCCCAAATGACAGTTTTACCATTTCCATCCTTCTCCTTAGGTCAGGTTTTCTGACAGTTTGATGTGAGTTAATTCCTAAGGCAAAGTGGGCACGAGGTCACATTTCAACTGCAGCCACACAGCACAAATGCAATGACTGAAATTAAGTGACTTTAAGCTGCTGTGCCTGTAACTGATTTCCAGTCTGCCGGGTTTCTGCCTGTGAGTTAGCATTTTCTGTTCTTCCTTTCATCTCCAAGTGTATGGATGTTAAAAAAATAATATAAGGACATATATAGAAAGATTTGCTTCTCATTTAAAAAAAAAAAAAAACCAACAAACAAAAACCCCAAAATAAACCATCATGTTAACCAAAGTTGTCATGACTGACAACCTCTCACTTCCAGGCTTTGCAAATCTGCTTGCATTTGTCTTTCTTAACATGTCCTCTAAAAACTATTATAAACCAGTGAAAAACACAGGGCTTCTTTTCCATTTTAGCCTTGAAAGACAAGAAAAAAATTTACCTGTTTGTTCTCATATGTTCCTCTGAAATGTCATCTCTGTTTCTTTTAAGCATAATAGCAATTTTTTTAGGTTTTGGAGGATCCCTGGGGCCCATCCTCCCATGGGATTCACGTGGAATGCCTCTCCCAGAATCCCAACCCAGGTAACACTGCAGGGTGCTTTTCCAGAAACGTGTGACAATGCAAAAATAACAATCACTTTTACCACATGAGCTCTTGAACCAGAACCCAGAGTTAACTCTGAATCCAAGGCTACAAGAGCCATCCACGCCTGACAAATGCAGAACAAAAAAACGAGAAAATCCTCACCTACAGTTGCAGAGAAGTTAGAGTAGGCAGAGTCATTGGTATTTACAAAGGTAGAGTTATGGGAAGGAAGCACAGTGAAGTTGTGGATTCTTAGAGCTGGGTGGAACAACAAAAGAAAATAAGCAAATGAGCAAAACAATGAATAAACACCATCAGTAATGAGCTGGCCAGTTCATATCTCTCAGCACAGCAGAAATCACAGATTTGTTGGTTTAATTTTACCACACAAGCACTTCTCAGGGGCTGGGAGTGTCCTGGCTGCACCTGCTCAGGGAAGGCAGAGCCACTGCAGGAACTGAGCAGAAAAGTCTGAGAATCACCCAGCTGCAGGTGGAGGCTGTGGAACAGCCTGCTGCTGCTGGGAACACCTACACTAAAATCCATCCCTGCAGGGCTGGGAGCTGGGGCAGCCCCAGGCTCTGTGAAGGGACGGGGACACCTGGAGCAAGGCAGGAGAGGCTGGGGCTGCTGGGCTGCAAAAACCCCCAGCGTGCAAAAATCCTTAGAGTGCAAAAATCCTCAGTGAGCAAAAAATCCCCAGTGTGCAAAAAAAATCCCCCAGCTGGAAATGGAAAGATGTGCCAGGCTCTCCTTATTTGTGCCCAGAGAGCAGATCAAAGCAATGGGCACAAATCAAAATACAAGAAACTCCATCCAAACATAAAAAAAACTCCAACTTTTTTATATCTGACTATAAAGTTTTATTCTCTAATTTGTTTTTCTGATTTTGAAAATTTAACAGTATCTTGCACACTGTAATTGTTTACCCTGGGCAGGCAAATAAAGCCTGATGGAAAGCACATCAAAGTAGATGAAGGACATTGATTTGGCATTTAGACCAACTGAGCTCATAGAACAAAAAGACAAATGCTCTTAGGAAAAGAAAAACACCCACAAAAACCTCCAGATAAAAATGCATGGAAAACAAGGGGTCAGGTGAAAAACCTGAGCATGGCCACTTTCTCTTTATTTGCTATATTTTGAGCTGATTGTTTAATTTCAATTGCTTCTACTGCTGAGATTTCCAAAACATTAATTTGCTGACACACTCTCACCACACGAATGCTTTGAGAGATATAAATCTGGCTTCACACACAATGACTTCAACAAATAAAATGGATTAACATGACGGACAGATTATGGTGCTTCAAGGATTTAAGAGGAGAAACATGGAATGAAAATAATTGCATGATATGATGAGTGGAAAAATAAGAAAGACTCTGCAATAAACAGAAGAGTTGTGTAGTCAGAATGGAGCCAAAACCAAGCAAATTGTCACCTGGAGTAGATTACAACAATAAAGAACAATTTTCTTGTATATCAAAGTGAAATATCAGACACATAAAACCTCTGCTGGAGGCAGCTGAAATGATATCGTGTCTGATCAGCACAATACAAACGACTGAGAGGAATTTGAGCCATCCAGTGCAAGGCTGCAGAGAATTCAGCACTGGCAGAGCTGCACTGCAGAGACAAACACCTCTGGCTACTGCTGTCCCCTGCAAGTAATTGTAAGACAAAATCCACCAAGTTTTTCAGCAAAGTCCTGCAGCTGGCTCGTTGATAAATTTCTTTATCACCATGTCATAATAGGAATCAAAAGAGATTGTTCCTGTGAGCCAGTCCCTTTCCTGTAAGTGAAGGCTTGTAGGGTCAGGAGTTTCATCTATTATCTGCTTTCGCTCTACCAAGACACTGAAAACATTTCTGAATTTTGCTGAAGTAAAATTAAACAAAATTTGAAAAACAATCTAACATCAATTGTCCTTTTTCAAGAGATGTATTTTTTATATATTATTTTCAAGCACTTTCAAAACATCTTGGTTATAATGTGATTGATTGCCAAAACAGAACTAGATACTGAGCACTTCACTCTCTTTGAAACCACGTGAAGTCCAGGGTCAGAAAATTACTTTAACACACTTTTAGAGAACTTATGTGGCAACTTTTGTAAGCCAAATAATTATTCTATTGCAGTCAGTAGGAATGCTGCCATCAGCTCCTAATGGAAGCAGAGTATTGCCCAGATATATTTCTGGTCAGGCAATTCCATTCCTTTCAGAAATTTTGTGGAAATACAGGTCAAAGTTTAGGCTTAAAATAGTTGAACACCTCTACAACAAAGGGATATTTTTGGATATTTATAGATCTTGTCCCCAGGCAGGAGCAGAGATCAATACTGCCACGTCTGGCACACAGGTTTGGGGAGTGCCCATCAGCACAAGCTGGAGCTGGCCAGGGTGTGAGAGAGCCAAAAGCTCCAGTGGGAGCTCCTGGGGTGTCAGAGAGCCAAAAACTCCGGTGGGAGCTCCTGGGGTGTGAGAGAGCCCAAAAGCTCCGGTGGGAGCTCCTGGGGCTCAGCCCATCCCCTACAGGGCCAGAGCTGGGGGCACCAGGGGCTGCCCACCCGCCCACCCCGCCCTGGCAGCAGAGCTGTCCTTCCCTCGGGGAGGCAAATCTCTCCTGATTTCGCCCAGCTGGAGAAGGAATTGAATTGACATCAGCTCATGCTGCAGCACTGCTCTTAGGGAAACTCCCAAAGGAGACACAAATGAGTGAGAGGTATCCAGAGGAGAGCTTGCACTCTTCTCTCTGTGGACACCACATGCAAGGTTCAGAAGTGCCTGAGGAGCTTGGGCATTTAACTCCCTCCAAAATGAAAGCAGAGCCATCCCTGCTGGCAGAGCCAGAGCTCCCAGAGCCTGAGCACCTGGAGCACGCTGTGTGTGTACCAAACCAGTGAATGACTGAGATTTCAATGACCCTTGGATCATAAACTCCTTATAACCTCAGCAATGCAGCCCATAACACCTCGGAGAACACAGAAATCAGCTCACAAATACAACAGAAACATAAACTGGAAAGAACCCTCAACCTCTGAGCTCCAAAGTCCCCCCCTTCCCTATCTCCTGCTGCCCCTCCTAACCACAGCAGATACAGGAGCTGTGCTGCTGCCAGGCCACGGAATGTTTTGTCTACCTCCGTTTGTGTCCCGAAACTCGTGAATTCCATCCACATCTTCCAAGGGCCAGTAATGGGAAGCTGACGCCAGGACTTTGAATCCTTTCAAGAAACACAGGTTAAAAGATTATTAAATAAAAGACCAACAAGGGGTGTAACAAGTCTCCACAGAAAATAACCATAAAAGAGGTCAAAAGGTTAAGTAAGCCAAAATGCTTTATGTAAATCAAGTGTGGCACACAAGCGAGGTCATAAATCAGAGCAGCAGAGCAAATTAAAGCCATATCTCTGATTAACCACTGCAGAAAACCTGCTTTTAAATCCAGCTGGTTTGCATTCTAATGGCACCTAAAAGGTGTAACAATCTCTGACTGACTCTGGGGTGTGTCTGGCAGCACCCACTGAACAGCAGCTGGGGAGACACTCAGAGACCAACACTCCAGAGCAATTTCCAGATTTCACAGAGACTTCGAGCAGTGCTGGCCAGCCCAGAGCGGGAGTGCAGGGGGGAAGGCTCAGCCTGCCCCCGAACATCACTGCTCCTGCCTCCTCCAGAGGGGCTGGGTGCTCCGAGAGGAGCTCCCACCTCCCACCCCGCGCCAGCCCTTCCTCCAGGGCCTTCTCAGCACCCCAAAACCCTCTGGGGCTGATGAAACATTCTGTTTTCCTGCACCTTCTCCTTACCAGCAGGTGGACAGGCTGACCAAGGCCAGCACCTGCAGGTTTCCATTGGCATTTCTGTCTGTACAGTCTGACTGACCAGAGTTTGGACAAATTTTGGGATGTGGGGTCACGTTGGGCCAGAACGGGCTGCCCAAAACAACCACAGTTTCTGTTAAGATAACAATTCTATTTTAAGGGTAGAGCATTACTAGTGTAGAAAAACGTGACTCGTAATTTCTTACTATCTTGCTTGCTACAAGAAACCCTTTATTTTCAAAACAATTACTTTAATCAGATGTGATGAAACAAATTTAGCATGTCTCGCAGCTAAGAGAGTTCGGGCAAGCTGGCACAGATATTCAGAAGTTTTTCCATGGATGCCCCATCATGGCACATCACCCCTCCAGCCTGGGTTACTTTTCTCTGGGGGAAGAGGTGGGGAAAAAAAGAGTAATAGGGACCAAGAGCAAGGGCTTCTGTCACACCACATTTCTGGCTCTCTGCCCTACAATCAGTTTTCATCCCAAGCAATCTTTCAGGAGACCGAGGTGTGAAGCTGACAGAGGGAAGTTTGTCAAACCCCATTTCAGCTGTCAGACACTACAGAACCTCCCCACACCTCATGTGCAGATTAACCCGAGTCACCAGCAGCGTCCTTTGGCTTCCGTGGCTCATCCCACTCCTTCCTTCACTTCTGAGATCAATCCCTTTTGCCGGTTTTCATGTCCTGGATACACACCAGAGCTTTCTATCATGGATACAAAGGTGCAAAAACTTTATTAAAGTGCCTAAAGCCCTCCTGGAGAGCACCTTGATGGCCTCCATCCTCCTGATGCAGCTTCTGAGGTGTGGCACAGACAGGATCCTAAGATTTATTTTTTTATTTTGAGTGCAAAGTTGATAAAATGGCTAAACTTCACAACGAGCAATTGCAGATGTGAGGAAACAGAACTCCAAGTTCTGCATCTTGTGGGGGTACAAGAACTACTCAGACTTGCTTCCAAAGTCAACTATACCAGAGATAGCTAACAAATGATTCACAACTGAATTCATTAATTCAGGATCTATTCTTAGCCCACCTAACTAAATGTTTGCCGTTGTCATAGAGGCTTTCCCTCAAGGAGGGAACAGAGCACAAACAGATAAAATGGGGATGTCTCGTGGGATGGAAGTGGGATGGACACGGGGTTCTGTGGCTCTCATCTCCGACTGCTTGGAAGGCAGAGCTGTCACTGAGAGGGCACTGCCAGCCTCAGAGGACAGACCCACAGCAGGCACACAACACATAACCCAAAACCTCCGGGCAGCCCAACCTCAGCTGAGCCTTCTGGAGGCAAGTGCCTGCTGCCCTGAGTGCAGAATCCTCTCCCAGGCAGTGACCCCGCTGAGAAGGGCCCAGGGCTCGGCCAGCCTGGAGCAAGGCCAGCAGCATCCCTGCCTCACAGCCCTGCACCCCTCACCCAGCATCCCTGCATCACACCCTTGCATCCCTGCCTCCCTCACCAGCCGTGGGACTCGCCCACCTGGGGAGGGTGGTTTCCCCTTTTGTCCCACCAGCCAGAGGCCACAGACCCTCGTTTTTAGGGAATAGGACTCTTTTTCTTGGTTTTGAGCAAAGGTGGAGCAGGAGCATTAATCAGGCTGAAGCTGCTCCCTCGCCAGACGTGGCCTCTCCCCATCGCTCTGCCTTTTGCTTGGGAATAATTACATGTGGTTAAAGCTGAAAAAAGCAATCCATGGGCCGGGAGCAGTAAAACTGTACTTGCACACCACCATGAGGCTTGAGGTTAAACTATTTATATAAACAGAAGGATCCTGCAGTTACACACACAAACGCTTCTGAGCTCCGAGTTCTTCACATTGGAAACAGATGAGAAATCCTAAATCCGCTCTGAAAGCGATGCCAACCCGAGGGGGAGGGCTGGGACAGGGAGAGGACTCGGAGCCACGCAGAGCACTGCGAAGTGGGCAGGCTGGCACCTCCGAGTGCATCAGGGAATCGAAAATGAGCATCGAGGGGAAAGGAAAAGAGTCTGTGTTGGTCTGGTTCAGAGCCTTACTCTCGAGGACAGCGGGGTGTACAAAGGAGTTTCCCACACAGCAAACACGAGCCATTTTTCTCCAAATGTGCTTCTACCCAGAACATTCAGTGGGTGGGGTACTGAATTCACAGGGACTGATACTTTTGACTACTACATCTTTAATACAGAGCTGGCATTCAAACAGGGGCTCTGTTTCTTTGGGGCTACTAAGAAAATTTTTTAAAACCCCACAAACTACAAAAAAAAAGCAAATAAATATTCGAGCACATTGTCACAAAGTGGAAAGAGAGCATTTCTTACCTGGGTGTTTGGGGAGCTGGGAATAGTTTCCGTACACCTGCACACAAAACATTACACAATGAGACACGGTGGGGCAAAACTTGCTAAGAGGACTCCAAGCACATCTCAAAACTGACCGGATTCAGAGCATTACCTGATATTTTTGCTGAAATAAAATCAGCAAAGAATAATGGCAACAGAGTAGAGATAACAAACTCTCCATGGTCTATTTAAGGTTAAAAGTATAGCTGAACTCCAACTCCTGCAGGACTTCAATCATAAGTTTTCCTTTGCGACTTTGGGTATTAAAAAGGACATTTTCCATGCAGGTTCGAAAGGTACATTCCTTCAGGGATGGCAAAAAACCCTTCCAGACCCTCCAAGCAGTGTTTCCTTGCTTCACCCTTCGGTATCTTCATTTAACTCGGAATAAATTGCCGTGTCCGGAGGAAAACTCACGGAAAGTCGCGCCAGACCCGGAGCTGCGCCGTTCCGTGGAGAGAACTCAAACGCTTCTGCTCCGACGGGTGCCAGAAAAGATCTCCAAAATCTCCTTTGCAACTTGGCGCTGCTGCCCCTCCCGCAGCTCCCCTGCCCGCGGGGCCCGGGCTCAGCGCTGCGGGCGGGGACAGCGCTGCCCGCTCCCGAGGGATGAACCGGGCTGAGCCGGGCTGAGCCGGGATGAACCGGGCTGAACCGGGCTGAGCCGCTCCCGAGGGATAAACCGGGCTGAGCCGGGATGAGCCGGGCTGAGCCGGGATGAGCCGGGATAAACCGGGCTGAGCCGGGCTGAACCGGGCTGAGCCGGGATGAACCGGGCTGAGCCGCTCCCGAGGGCTGAACCGGGATAAACCGGGCTGAGCCGGGCTGAGCCGCTCCCGAGGGATAAACCGGGCTGAGCCGGGATGAACCGGGCTGAGCCGGGATGAACCGGGCTGAGCCGCTCCCGAGGGCTGAACCGGGCTGAGCCGCTCCCGAGGGCTGAACCGGGCTGAACCGGGCTGAACCGGGCTGAGCCGCTCCCGAGGGCTGAACCGGGATAAACCGGGCTGAGCCGGGCTGAGCCGCTCCCGAGGGCTGAACCGGGATAAACCGGGCTGAACCGCTCCCGAGGGCTGAACCGACCCCAAAGGGGCTGAACCGACCCCAAAGGGGCTGAACCGCTCCCGAGGGCTGAACCGACCCCAAAGGGGCTGAAGCGATCCCCAAGGGGCTGAAGCGACCCCAAAGGGGCTGAACCGACCCCAAAGGGGCTGAAGCGATCCCAACGAGCCGGACCGAGCCCGGCCGGGCCGCAGAGAGCGGCGGTCCCGCACTCCCGAGCCCCGGCCGGTGTCACGCTCCCTCCTCCAGCTCCGTCCCACCCTGCTCCCTGCCCATTCCCATTTATTCCTATTCATTCCCATTTATCTGCCCCCGCTCCGGCAGGGAGGGAGCGCCCCAAAACCGCACCTGGGAGGGGCCAGGGCACGCCCAGGCCGGCCTTGGAGCACCTGGGCAGCGCTCCCGGAGGAGAGCGGCAGCTCGTGGAAGGGCCGCAGCTGTACTTCCGTCCCAAGGAAGCTTTAAAACACCGATTTAAATCGCACGGCGCGCTAAGGGACTGCTTTTGCTTTATCCGTTCCCAGCAGGGGAAACTGAGGCATCACTTAACTCACTTCCTCAGAGTTGCACAAAGCAAGGAAAAAACTTCAGTACTTGCTACGACTTTGCTCCTTATTTTAATAAAACTAATTGCATCTAAGAGTCATATAAGAGTCTCCCAATTGCACTCTATGTCACAAATATTAACCAGCACTTTACACATAAAAGAAAAATAGCAGCTAGAACTGGCTGATATTCTTTATTTTATCTGCCTTCTGGGATAAAGTCTTATTTTCAGTTCTCTCAAAGTTCTTTATTTTCAGCCAAATGAACTGAAAGACTAATATTTTAAACAAAATTTGATAAGCTTTCCATCACTGTTTGTTTCTTCCCTGCATTTCCCTATCAACCCCTTCTTTATCCTCACGCGAGCCACTTAAAGGTGATGTAGGCAACATCCGAAACTACAAATCAGAACCACAACATGCTAATATCTCAACAAAATCCAGACTATTTTACTTTTCTTTTGCCAGAAGTTATGTAAATATATTGGATAATGTTTTCAGCCCCACTCATGCAGCAAAACGGTCTTTATTTGAAATAGTTTTTAATGAGTGACTGCACAAGATTCTGACCTATTATAAAGTTATTTTCTGTACTATTCCTATTCCATTCCCCTTTCTGGAGACACACTGTGCCTGTACCTGCTCTATCTCCACACCTATCCTGTTATTTCCCTTTCTGGAGAGTTCTGTGCCTGTACCTGCTCTATCTCACACCTGTTCTGTTACCCTGCATGGAGATATTCTCTGCCTGTGCCTATTCTATTCTATTCTATTCTATTCTATTCTATTCTATTCTATTCTATTCTATTCTATTCTATTCTATTCTATTCTATTCTCCTTTCTGGAGAGCTGTACCTGTTCTATCTCACACCTTTCCTATTCCCCTTTCTGGAGAGTTCTGTGCCTGTGCCTGCTCTATCTCACACCTGTCCTATTCCCCTTTCTGGAGACATTCCAGCAAGACATTCACGCTGCATGAACGCTCCAAAGTTACCCAAGTTCAGTGCCACAAAATTTCAGTATGGAAATAAAATGTGGGTTGTGTTTGCAATCCTGATCTAGGGCCCATGAAAGAAGAATTTTGAAAATTTTGAAGTTCTGAGTTTCAGTTCCCACAGAAATGTAGTGATGACCAGCCTGGCTTTTGCCTATTTCCCTCCAGCTTTTTTGAGACTTCCTCTCTCGTTACTGTGAGCCACAATCTCCTCGATATCCTGAAGGAAGAGGAGGAATTCTGTGTAAACCCTACGAGTTCTGCATCATATAGTGACAAATAGAGCCATTCTTAGAAATAACAGAGAGCTGCAGCTAAAAATCCTGAGTAAAAATGAAAATGTAAAAAGAGAAATACAGGAATTTGAAATATTTGCCAATAGGGGCCTGTCAAGGGAAGGAATATGCTTACCAAAACAATTGTGAGAATCCAAGCAAACAAGTTCCCTGCCAGAAATTTCTGCAGAAACAGCAAACTGCAAGCAGACGTTGGAGATTATTTGCAGAAACAAATTCTGAATTTATTCCTGTGATGCTCTGGAAACACGATGTGCAAAGCCAGGCTGCTCCCAGCAGAGCCTGGGGCAGCACTGTCAGAGCAAACTGGAGCCACTGGGCAGCACTGGGTGGCCAGGCCAACCCCGGGGGGCTCCTGGGGAGCCCCACCAGGAACGGAGCTCATTTCAAATCCCTGCAGGTCCCTGAGGGTCCCTGGAGGTGCTTTTGTGTTCCTGGAGGTCCTTGAAGGTCCCTGGAGGTGCTTTTGGGTCCCTGGAGGTGCTTTTGTGTTCCTGGAGGTCCTTGCAGGTCCCTGGAGGTGCTTTTGGGTCCCTGGAGGTCCTTGCAGGTCCCTGGAGACTCACAGGGCAGCACTGGGTGCTGCAGCCCAAGCTGAGCCTGCAGGAGCTCACCCAGCACCTCTGTCCATCCTCACCCTCTGCCCTTCCTCACCCCTGCCCAGGACTGAGACAGAACCAGCACAGCTGCAGCTGACACGGACAGGGAACCCCAGGGAAGGACAGACAGCCCAGGGAAGGACACACAGCCGCGGGGAAGGACACATAGCCTTTGTGGCTGCCTCCCTGGATCCAGCAGAGGAACAACCCCTGGCAGAAGGTTGTGGCCCTGCAGAACACGGTTTGTACCGGGGTTTTCCTCCCTTGCTTGCCCCGGAGTCACCAGTGTACCGCTGGGGAGCTGGAGCATCACTGGGACAGAACATTCACACGCGTCTCAGGAGGATCAGAGGGCTCTGTGGCATTGCCCATCGCACTAGCACACTGCAGGTTCTCGGGATTAATGCCCTGGCTCTGTGGCATTGCCCATCGCAGCCCGAGCCAGCACAGCGCAGATTCCCGGGATTCCCGGGATTAACGCCCCGGCCGGGCTGTTCGCCGCTCGGTGCCACGCTGTCCCGCAGCGATTCAGCTGATGGAGCAGCACACATCCACTCGCATCCCACCGCAAACCTCCCTAAGGGGCACCAGCGAAGGGCCTGGAGAAGGGATTTTATTTAATTCACTTCCACAAATCACCCCACAGCTGTGTAAACTCATTCATCCGTCCTGTGCTCCAGGGAAGTGCTCAGATGCACACAGGTGCAATTTAGTTAGATTTGCACTTTAAAAAATCATTTGCCAGCTGCCTCACCTTCCGAGAGACTGAAGAATGTTTCTTTCTCCTTTTCCTTGATGTATTACAATCAAACCCCGGTAATGGGTGATACTAATTGGCCAGCCACGGCAGAGTCACTCGGGATGCAGCGCTGGAGCCCCCTGGCTCCGGAGAGGAGCAGAAAACACAAACCTCACTTAAGTCAGAAGATTTTTGCTTTAAAAAAAGCGCAAAAATTGATCCTTTAAAACATTATCACCCTGTTAATCTGCATTGATGTAGGAGATGGGGATGAGTCAGAAGAGGCTGAGCTGTGCTTTTCCTTAAGGTTTCCAACACACAAGTTCTGTTTTCCCTCCAAAATCCCCTAACAGAGGGCATCGAAGGGCGGCCACTGCCCAGGACAGATCAAGTCATTAACGATGCTTTCATGGAGTCATTAACGATGCTTTGGTCAGGCTGTAATTAACGATGTTTTGGGCAGACTCCTCAGCTCGTAAGAGCACCACGGGAAATCTCTGAGCGCTGGAAGGACGAACGGAGCAGCTCGGAGTGGGGAAAGAAAACAAACACAAACCCTGCAGTTAGCGAGGCCAACGCTAGCATGGAAAAATATTTTTCTAATTAAGATTATGAGAAGTTGCTGGTCGATGCCAGAAAACAAAAACACAGCGTTTTGGCAATGAAATTTAGTCCTAATCAAGTGAAAATGCTTTTATTGTGCAACATATGTAATATTAAGCTGATTATATATATATTCTTTATGAAAACATTAAGACACTGATGATTCAAAGACCAATTAAGCAGGTATATAAAACCATACAATAAATTATACATTAAAGTTTCCCTAAATGAGGTCCCAGCTCCTAACAGAGTTATTGGATTAGCCCTTTTATTGTCTGTTTTCTGTTCATTGGACTTTTTTTGCGTCTTGATACTGCCTTGAATATCTGACTCTGCGTGCTGAAGAAAACATTAGATTTTTGCTAAGTAGTTTAGGATTTTGTGCCAATCTCAAAGATTTAATTTAATCAAATCTTTGATTATCTGAGCCTTAATGTCAAGCTTAAGTAAAATTGGATAATTGTATAAATAAAATGTTTTACAAATCCTTTTTCTTTATGATTAAGCCAAATCCTTTTTGCCAGAAGCCCCTGAGTGTAACTGGGTATGTTCTGGGGCCACTCAGGAACTCAGATCTTCTTAATTACACAAATACCAAAACCACATTTATAATATTATATGGTAATGAT